CAAATAGATGGAATGTTTTAGATATAATACCAAATTTAGACAAAATAAGTAATAATCTTTCGGATATTGAATCGAGTATGATGAAAATGAAACTAAGTAGTCAAATTAAAAAATACGTAACTAAAGAAGAAAAAAAAATCAATAGTCAAGGATAAGAATTATTTTCAATATCAAAATCAAATCAGAAAACTTCATAATTTTTTGAAAGAAAACGAAATAGAAATCATAAAAGCCGACAAACCCAAACAAATTGTAATAGTTACCCAAGCATGGGTTAAAAATAAGAAACAAGAGATAATACAGAATACAAAATTTAGGAAACTCCCTGTAAACCCTACTGAGGTTATATATTTAGAACTTAAGAAAAGAATTACAAAATTAGAACAACTAGGAGAAATTACCAGAAATGAAAAATGGTTTATTTTAATTGAAGGAAATGATCGCATACCAAAGTTAAATATACAATTAAAAACTCATAAGATAGGTGAAAAAGTTCGGCCAATAATAGATTTTAAATATTCAACACTATATAACTTAGAAAAATTCCTAAAGCAACAACTTAAGCAGAACCCAAACTCAAGATTTGCAATTAAAAACACAGATGAACTTATAGAAGAATTGAATAAAATTCGTATAGAAGAAAACTTTAGAATAGCAAGTCTCGACATTATAGATATGTACCCATCAATAACGTGGGAACTTATAGAAGATAAATTACAAAATCTTGAAGTTAAAAATGAAATGATAAGTTTAATAGAATTTGAATATAGAAGTAATTATTTCGAAGTTGACAATTATTTTTATACACAGACAAGTGGAATAAGCATGGGATCAGTAATTGGACCAAAGTTAGCCGAATTAATAATGATAGATATAGATAACAAAATCAGTAATATAAGAGGCATAAAATTTTACAAAAGATACATGGATATTTTAATAATATATAACGAAACAGAAATAAAGATAGAAGAAATCAATAAACAAATTAATAATATACAAGAAGAGATAAAATTTAAAATAGAAATAGAAGACACAACCAGAAAAGAAATCAATTACAGTAGAGCGTCGATTTTCCGAAAGTCAATCATCCGAAAGAATTCCAGTCGGCAAATTTAAATTTTTGCCAATGCTGTGGCCCTTCAATCTTTGGCTATGTCTTGGGCTACTCAAATATTTTACGTTTTTGATACTAAATTAACATCTGAACTATAATTTTTTATTATTTTTACATTTTTCAATATATTTATTTTGTTTGTACAAAATAAAAAAAATAATTTTTAACGATACAATAGTCTTTGTTAGGCTTAACATCGACGAAAATTCAACGACACGCAACGGAGAAAAATTTCAACATCCGATATGTTAAACTGTTTTTTCGTATGTAAATCAGTTATTCGAAATATCAGTTATCCGGACAACCCCAGTCCCCAATTGATTCGGAAAATCGACGCTCTACTGTATTTAGACATTACGATAAGAAGATTAAAACAAAGTTTAGAATTTAGAACATTTAGAAAGCCTGGATCGAGTCAGATAACAATAAGATACCAGTCCAACGTACCACTTCACGTCAAATATAACATATTTAAAATGGAATATTCTAAGATAAAAAACAGAACAAGTCAAGAAATACATATATCTGCAGACTTAGCCGAATTAAAAAAGAAGTTTCTCCTGGCAGGCTACACACAACAACTACTAAAAAAATGAGAACTTAAGATAAATAATCCTAAAACACCACAAGATAATAAAAAAACAAATGGAATTAAGTATATTGGATTTCCATATATTAAAGGATTACACGAACAAATTGATAATGAAATAAGCAATATGCACTTTAAGTTAGCACCGTCATACAAAAAATGTATACAAGATTAAAACGGTTCGAAAAATGAGAAAAAAACAACAACCACCAACAGAAACTAAGAATGTTGTATATAAAATACATTGTACTTGTAGCAATAATAAATATTATATAGGAGAAACAAAAAGGAAGTTAAAAACTAGATTAAAAGAACATATAGTGGATCTGAAATACAATAGACTAAATTCTGCCTTTCATGATCATTGCACAATGAATGACTGTGCAATGATCATGAAAGGCAATATAATATACAAATAAAGATAATATACAAATACAATAAAGATAATATACAAATACTTCACAAAGAAAAAGAAACATATAGTAGAAAGTTTAAAGAAAGCGTGGAAATTATAAAAAGCAAAAAATGCATAAAAAAAAATCTAAGTATTAAAATTAATGGAAACTGGCTACATATCTTATAATATTCAGAAAGGATAATTTATGTAAAAAGGTAATTTCCCGAAAAGAAATATTTTGTGTAAAAAGATTTTTTAGAATAATTTATATAAAAAGGTATTTTCTTGAAAAGAAATAATTTGTAAAAAGAAAATATTTTTCAGTAAGAATAATTTATGTAAAAGGTATTTTCTACAAAAGAAATAATTTGTATAAAAAAAGACATTTTAAGAAAAAAGATACTTTAAGTAAGAAGTAATACTGCCAAAAGGTGGCCTACTAGTCATAAGACTATAGTAACCAGTGGTACGCTTAACTAGGAGAAAGAAAAAGGGGAGGAGGTCATCCCAATGAGTTTGTAAAAAAGAAATTGCATGGTTTAATGAAAGACAAAGATGTTAATTTTAGTATTGTTGTAAAATTTGAAATTGTTTAAAATTTTATAACAGTAAAAAACAGATAATTAGGTACGTAATTTATTGTATTGTTATCATGTAAATGTATAAGAAAAAATTCATATAAAAAGGCTTTTAAAATATTTTAGATAATACAAAACCGTATGTTTCTTAGAAAAACGAGTGTTAAGGGCCAAAATGTTTTTGTAATTCCATATCAACAAGTAAACATAGGCGATGGAAATTTGTGGTTTTAATATCTTAATAACCTGTAAATTAAAAAGGTATGTTTTTAAAGAAACAATACCTAATATGTTTGTTGTTTATAATTTTATAGTGTTGTAACTTATGAATTTTTGTTTTTAGTTGGCTGAGGAGGGGCAATAAATGCCTGAAACTTGTGTAAATAATATCAACACGTATCAACTAAATAAAATTTGATGATAAAAATTGCCAAGTGCCTGAAAATAAATGCAATAATAATTTGTGTTTGAATTACTACTAATAACTACTAGCACGGTTTCAAAATACCAGAAAGGACGTTTTCATATTTTTTGTTTAACATGAAAACATTTGATATGCATGAGTTCTGAAATGCTTAATAAAAAGTTCTTTCAAATGGTAACATTTACAACTGACATGATTCAAAATATGCTAAAAAATTGTTGAACATTGAGGAATAGCTGAAGAATTTAACTACTGTCGTGATGTACTAGTAACAAAGATGATCCTTGTGGCTACTGATCAGTTAATAAAAGTTTCCTTAACCAACTTTTAATTGTGCTATGAATTACAAATTATATTTACAAACTTAAAACAGAACTGTTAAACTAAAGCTAATTTAAATATAACAATTGTCTATTTTGCCTGTTCAAATCAGCTGTTTCCAACTATCATTCTCTTTTCCAGTTTACACCTTTCTTTGTTTTCTCATGTTTAAAAGAAGAAAATGGAAGCAAAGTGTAAACTGAGAACCTTTCAAGAATTAACTATTTCTTCTTAATTTCAGTTATCCAAACTTTTCATTTTATCCATGTTAAATGTTATGTATTGAGACTATTTATTAGTATAACATGTTTCATTATAGTATGTACATAACATATCTATTGTGAGAATGAAGACGCTATTTTTATTTTCACACTAACTGCGTAGTTAGAGAGGGTGACTTTCGTCGTCCGAAGGTCATCTACGAGGGACCACGATGTCACGTGACCCCCATACGTCCGAGCGACTGGACGAAAAGAATGACTATATAAGGAGATAAGTTGCGGGAAATGGTAATAAATCAGGGAGAGATGTCAACAAATTCCCAGATTTTTCCCACGCAGATCGGGTATATAAAGGGGTCGGATTTTCTACTCGGGGCGCTTAGCCGAGGAGCTAACGCCGAAGAAACCCCTCTGGACAGCTAAGGAAAAACGGACAGCGATCGTCGGGGGAAGAGAATGCAGTGGACTACTCTTCCAGTACCCTCAGGATCTACGAAGCTCATAATCGCCGCTCCATGGAAAGGTAAACTTTGAATATTTTTTTCTATTCTCTCCTTATACGACGGAACTACTCCTCAAAGAGGTTAACAGAAGAAACCTCCGAGAGAACTTCACCAGGAAGAACTCCCTACAGATTAGATTAGAACTCTCTACAGACGGAGCATACAGCGTATCTGGACATAGCCGCATGACATGAGAAGGACATCGCTCCACATAGCCTTCAAAGGACACCTCGGAGTAGAAGACGATGATCACAGAGTGTTTTATCAACGCCCTATAATATGAGAACGTTTCCTACGAGGTAAACCCTTGCCATAATTATCTCTCTCCAACGTAAGGTCTCTCTCGAACTTTAGCATTAGGTTAGGTTAGGATAGATTTTAGAATACCTATTTATATCTTAATATGCGAGTGTTATATTTATTATCTTTATGTATAATTTCTCATCTGTTTATTAAATGTGTTGTCTATTTAAACCCGTGTAGTCAATTGGACACCTGGTCACGACTTCCGACTTCTCCCCACTCATATTTTTAGCCCTCCTAGGCCATCCGACAACCGAGAACGGGTCTTTCCAACCCATGCAGATTAAGTGGTCATTAGGGTTCACCCAGTGGCCCCCTGCTACTCACACTATAGTTAGATGAGTTAAATTCAAAGACACATAATGCATATATGGCATTTATCAATAGTTTAAATGATAAAATTTTGTTCAAATTATGCAATTTAATATGCATCATTCTTAGAATATAACCTTATATAATTTGAGAACCCCTTGCAGTGATTTATAATAATAATGTGTATAAATGTATTTATACATGAATAAAAAAAGTAAATTTCTTGAAAACAACTTACCGCTTTTTCTGATTTTGATTCTTGAAGCTTACTAAGAAGGCTTTCTAAGTTATCTACTGCAGAAATCTTTTTCTTCAAAATATTTTCCAAACGCTTTTTATGTTTTAACAATACACTAGCCTAAAAATAAAAATTTCATTAATCATTAGTAGTAACCTGTACATTTTTATGTAAAATTTCTTAAATAATTAAAAAGGTCCAAAAAATACTTAAAGTACTTTTTTAAACTAATGAGTTAAAATTACTCAGTTTTTCCCGTCTTCGAAGAAACTCAAAACGTACTTTATTAAACGTTTTTACCTTTGTTGGTAAAAAAATTTAATAAAGTATGAAGTGTTTGATGAATTCAATCCTTTCCACTTGTGAGTTTTGAGTTTCTTCAAAGTCGGGAAAAACTGAGTAATTTTAACTCGTTAGTTTAAAAAAGTACTTTAAGTATTTTTTGGACCTTTTTATTTTAAAATTTATAAATACTGATCCCATTGCTTTTATTTATTTTTATATATTAAAATTTCTTACTTTGTTCTTATATCCTTTTGAAATCTCTAATTTTGCTTCACTTCTTTTACTGAAATTTAAATACATAAAATATACTTTAGTATGTTTGATGTATTTGTTTGATTATTCTATGCACTAATTTTGTCTGATTTTACTAAATTTAAAATTTTCAAATAAAGAAATTAAAATCCAGCAATTATTGAAATGCTTTGCTATTCTAATACAGTTGACCCACCTATAACACTGTTGATAATTCCATTTTATATGAATTCCATGTTGTATGAGTTATGAATGGCACACGTATTTGTAAAATCTAAGTGACTCGTACAACATGGAATTCATATAAAACGGAATTATCAACAGTGTTATAGGGGGCGACTGTATGTTTCTACGTATATACCACATATTCATAGACAAACCTCTTATGATAATCACAGGATTATAAAAGAATAATTTTAGTTCCTCTAACAAAAATATGGCATGGTTAGTAAAATCATATATGTTATGGACTAAGTGATTAATAAGGGCATTTTGAATAAACCCTGGCCAGTACGAATGATGAAAACGAAATCAGGCTCTAATAAATTTCGCATTTTTATCATAATTTACATTGACTGATCACTATAAATACTGCTATGATCTGGTCAGGCAAAGTGGTGATGATAACTTGAGGAGTGACCATCTGACAGATGTTAGCCAATCAATGCTCATATCTGAGTTGCACATATGTATTGTGTTTAGTATCTAATTTTAAATTCATGCAACCAGTAGTTAATCTTGAGAAACATTTTAATTTTACTTCTTAAAATAGTATGTCCTTTTTTGAGAAAACCATGGAACAATAATTAATATGAATAAATGCTTCAATGATTGATTAAATGAGTTAGTAGCAGCAAAAGATTAGAACAATCAAATTTTTAAAAAATCAGCACAAGCCTATTTGACAATGACACAAGGAAGTTACTGGAAGAATATCAGTGTTTATGTAGATATGATGTTGTATCTATCAGAGAAATAGCATAATTAATTGTGCCTGATAAAAGAAGATAATTCACTTAAATATTATGTACACACTAGAAAAATATTACAGATATTTGATGCCCATATTGCTATTGGTCATGCTGTCAGAACCTGTAGGCCATAGAAAAATATTTAAGTATGAAATATAAAAATATCACAAGGATCATAATATACCTGAACTTGTGTGAAATCTGTCAAAGAAAACAATGTTTCTAAGAAAGGCTTGTTATGAGTAATTTATTTTCATAACTGATAATTAAGCAATACAAAAAAGTTTGAGTTGAAGTGGACAGAATGTAAAGGATTTAAAGAGGAAAAAGGACTTGAACTTTGTATTGCCTTAATTTTCAATTATGAAAATAAATTACTCAGTTAAAATAATCCTGGGCTTATGTATAATTAAGACTTGTTATGAGAAACCAATTTTTATAAGGGAATCATAAGGGAAATTAGGCAGAGGAAATAATAATAGTTAAACCAATTTTAAGCAATGAAATAAACTCAAGATGCCCGGTTGATCTTATTGATATACAGTCGCAAGCTGATGAGCAATATAAATTTATATTCATGTACCATACTTTACATTAACATTAGTTTACTTAATAGTTAATAATACTTGTTTTTAAAATATTTAAAAATAATTCTTAATGAAAAAAGTGGAGATTTTCTTGAGTATTTTAACCATCAATTTTTGGAAAGAAAGTTTAGTTTTGGAAAAAAAAATGTTGTTATTATAAAATATATTTGCAATCTATCATTAGTAATGATGATAATTTTATTACAAAATGTTAATTATAACTTAATATTTAATAAAATATTTTAAGAAAAAATTGGTCATATTTACTTTTCAATTTCAGTTTCTATTTCTTCAATTTCCTTATCTAAAGTTCTTTTGGCATTAAGCAACCTAAAATGTAAAAGATAAAACAGTTAAAAAAGAAATAGTTAAATTTTTAAAATATACAAACAATATTTTTACCTTCTTAAATTAATTTCAACTTCTGTTGGTTTGCTAACCATTGATTCATCTTTCCTTCTAAACTTTACAAACTATAAAAATTAGAGAACATTTTTTAAAAACTTTCTTCACAAAATATATTTAAAAGAAAAAAATATATAAATTTGAAATTTTTCAGTTTGGTAAAAAATAAAAATTCTACTAGCAATCTAACTTCAATAAGTAGAGAAGGAGAATCAGGAGAATCATAAGGAAAAGCAAGCAGAGGAAACAATCTCTGTAAATGCCATCAAAAGCCAAATTATATCTGATAGCTAGCAAAAGATACATTTGAAAAACTACCCTCATATCTACAGACATACTGAAGGAATGAAAAAAGGATTACAAAACTCCTTGGAACTGGGAGATCCTGAAGAATACCTCATCCGATATTAAGTAATAAGTAAAAATACCATAAAGCTAACAATGAACAAGAAATAAATTAATACAACAGCTAAATATCCAAGGCAGTTAAAGGACCACTCTATGGGACCCAGGATCAAATCTAACCCAGGAATTTTTCTGGGTGATCTGTCCTAGATATGCATGAGTGGACCTGTCCCTTTCCACTAGACTGTCCAACCTATTGTGGGCCTAGAAAAAAGCCCTTTTAGTACCTATAATGTAGGAAAAGTAAAATAAAAAATAAAAAAAAACACAGAAATAAATAATTAGTACTTTCTGCAAGTATATGTATTTTCTAGTGTTTGCAGTTTAACACTAATAATGCTATTTGGTGTGTTTTCATTGTAATTTTTTGTTTTATTTGGAAAATTCCTTTTAAAATAAACATTATATGGGAGAATTATAGAATAAAATAGAAATACTGTTTTGTTTCTGAAGTTCATAAAACTGTTCTTTCCAAATTAAAAAAAAAAAAAAAAAAAACTATTGTTCAATTATAATTTTCTGTATCTCCTAAACATCAAATTATGAAATCACAACAGAACTAATTTCATTTAGAAAACTATTAAATAAAAAATTTACTTTGAAACTTACATCTACTTTAATTACAATTTAAATGATTAAAAATGTTTAAAATTTATAAAACAGACCTTAAAAAGCAAGTACCATCAGTCAACAGCTTACAAATTCAATTTTATAACTATTTCCATATATGAAAAGTTTGAGATAGAAGAGAAATTCCAATCAGATCTGATAAGATGAAGACATTAATTTAAAGCAAAATGAAAAATTATATATTTTTCCTATTCACACAAGAGACAGAAGTATGTTCCAAAAAAGAAAAAAATTTAATGCCTTTTTTATTCTTTATCTTGACTATACTCAAAAATCACAGTATTCTTTCAAAGCACATTAAAAAAGTAAAAGAATACACAGTGTTCCCCTGAAACATCTCTAGTTTTAAACTGTTCTATAAAATCAATTTCAGATATGTGAATAGAATATGTTGGAGATGTTAGTCAATACTTCAAGTTGTGTGTGTCTACGTTTAAAAGGACTACCGCCACACAGTGATGATCTGAACCTTCAATGCTGGTGTTCCCATATTTTGGTACACCCTGTCCTGACATCATCTCTCTCAACCGGGGTTTTTTTTTTTGGGCATATCAAGAATTGTGTGTATGCTACAAAATGCCAGACAAGAGTGATTTAATGTTGTAATAAATTTTTTCAGATACACTTTCTACAGTACATTTCTTTTTCTCAAAATCAATCTACAAAACTAGGCTTCTATGCATTTGGAGCTAGAACTATTTAAAATGACTAAGACAAGTAAAAGACATTTGAAAGACCAGAAGAAGGCCTATTAAGAAGGCTGAAAACGTTTGTACTCGTGTATAAACGGCTAGAAACAAGTGAGAAAGGTTTTGTCTTGGTCATACAAAACTAGGGATGTTCAAGGGGAACACCCTGTACATTTCTAATGGTTTGTTCAATTTTTTTTTTTTTCTAACTTAATTAAAATTAGACATAAGAGAATTTTAAATAATTCATTAACATTATTTATTAATTTAGGTCTTCAACCAGTAGTTTCTCATAACTAAAAAACAAATTATGTCTATAATAGTGTTGAAGTTATTATTTTGTTCTGGAAAAATTTGAGTTATTGTCCTAAAAATAATAATTATTTAGGCTATGAAACAAATTTTTAATTTGATTATGAGAAAAACTATTTATTCCATAGAAAAGGAAGCAAGAATGAATTTCAAGAAGCGGCTGGAATTCAGAAAATTAAGATTTCAATGTAAATAATGTCGGAGAATTAATTTGAATTTGTTAATATCTGTGTAAAACACCAAAAGATAACTTAATGGTAATGTCAGAATTACAGTACAAATATAAAAATTATACACACCTTTTGAGAATAAACTGTAAATATACGAAGTTGTTTTTCCTTCTCTAATTGACAAAGAATCAGATGAAATGTTTCTTGATCGTCGCATATCTCTCTGCTTAACTGCCACAATTCATCTAACGACATGACATTATCCGTCCAATCACAAGCCACACTTTTCTGATGAAGTTTTATAATCTCCTCGCTCATTTCCTGTAATGTTAAATGCTTTAAACATAATATTCATAAACTTATAATATTAATAAAATGTAAGATTACTTTTAAATTCGGAAGACTGATGTATTTTTGTTCGTTACTGTTCCAATTAAGCATATTCATTGTTGTCGTCCAACTCCAAAGTACGGGCTTTTTAATAAACACATAATATGCCCAACCGACCCAACTGCTTTGAGAAGATAAAAACTGTTCTTCGGTAATAAGTTTCCCGTCACTGAAAATAAGGTTAATTTTAAAAATATTTATAAGCTAAAAATATATAAAATTCAATATTTTAATAATTTATTATTATTATATATTTAAAATATCTTAAAAATAGAATTAGATATTACACATACAAAAATGTACTGATACTGGTATTTCTAGAGCATTTTCACACTATGGAAAGCTTATAATTTTTTTTTTAATGGAAAATTTATAGTTTGAGACCTAAAATTTAGGATATAATAATAAAATAAACTTAATGCTTATGTTGTTACAATTTATAGTTTTTAAACATATTAATTGAACTTTCTCCCGATTAGAATGCTATGTAGTATTAGTTAGTGTTAATGCTTTTGGACTAAAAATTCTCTCTGCTGGGCACCAGTAGCACTTTGCTACAAGTTAGATTAAAATCAGTAAAAACATCTTAAAAATTTTAAAAGAATTGTAAACTCTAAGCAAATATGCATGTGTAAACATGCATAACTGGAAAAATGTTTATGCCACTCTTCTAGTAATCTACAAAGAAGAGACAGAAGAGATTTATGCTTCATTTGTGTTAAGTTGCTGTCAACTATATAATGCTGTTTTGCCTGTTACTTCAAATATATATATATATATTTGAATTATTATTATTCTTTAATCAACTTCCAAAAATATAAAATTATTCAAATTGTGAGATTTTATATAACTTCTACCCTCCAAAAGAATGTAACATTATTTCACACACTAAACTAGATACAATCTACAGAAATGTTTAATGTTTACAATACATTCAGGATACTCCATTGTATGGAATGTGATTAAAGGTACACCACTCTTTTTAGCATGCAATTTTTAAGTATGGCACACTTAAAAATATACCAATAAGCATCCAGAAAGGATCAGTAATTTTTAATGCATTATGTTTACCCTTAATTTTATTTTTAAAGAAATAGAAAGTAATATTAATAGATAGATAATGTTAAAAAGAATGTGGCTTCATTGTTGGTGATGACATTATTTTTAAACTAATTGTCTTATCAAAGTATAGCCAAAAATGTCAATTGTAACTCAACCATCACATGTGAAATATGTGGTGTTTGTCTTTGTGTTTTAAAAATGAAACTTTTTGAGTTTTATGTCTGATGTAAAAATCATCTCACAGCATCTATTATGGTTAATTTTATATATAACAACAACCTAAACCCCGATGTATTGATACTAAGCCAAATGATCACAGTAATTAATTGAGCTATTATTGTATTATAATTAATAATTAAAAACTAAGTAATTTAGTACTAAAAGTAGACATTAGATGCCATCTAGTACCAAGGTACTTAGTTTCTAATTATTAATTATAGCATAATTAGTATATAATATAAATATAAATAGCCTGATTACTTATGGCAAATGTTTCGACTGGTTAATTTTTTTATTGATTTACAGACACTCTGTATTGATCACATCACTCATCATTTTATTTGCTTAGTTTAGTTTCTTAACTCTAAGCTCTGAAAATTTTGTCTTTCTATTTATCTGGAAATAAAATATTTTTTACCCTTCAGGCTATAAAGGGAATCTGTATAGCAAAACCAATCAAACAACTTTCCCTTTGGCCAATTTTGACCTGAATGGATTAAGGCAATTTTGGCCAATCTCAAATTTAAAAGGTTAAAAAGGGTTTTCTTAACTTTTTCTTCTTCAAAAACTGGCTGTATGTAATGATAACATATATAAATATGCCCAAAACCAGTAAATGGAATAAAAATATTTACATACCTGATAATCTTTGTTAGAAACAGACAAGAATATTCATATCAGTAAATATTTGTTATTTTTATAATTTTGGGTATATTTGTGTGTTTTTTCAAGGTTTTCATAATTTATTTTATAATTTTAATATGTATGAATTTAACAATATTACAAATAATATGCAATCCTCAAAGTCAACTTGTAATATATAGGCCTATTTATTATTAAATATTAAATTACACAACAGTGGTCTCCAATCTATGGCTTGCAAGTCAAATACAAGCCTGAAAGATTATTCATCCAACCCAAGTGTTGCATGTTTTCACTGAAATGTTTTATCATCAATGTTTGAACTAGTTCATAGCACAAACTTTTGAAAAGTCAACTAGAATTAATATATCTTGATGCAAACAATTTTTATAAAACCTAAAGAAGAGAGTTTATTACATTTTTACAAATCTCTATCAAAAGATAATTTTAAGTCTTAATAATTTTACTCAGAGGATATTATTTTTGTTTCCATGTACCTTTGTAAACAAACCTTTTTGAAAATTATATATATAAAATCAAAATATCAAATAACACCATTCAACAAATACCTACAGGATATTTTAATACACGGGGGTCACAAAATTTAACTCAGTTTTGATTCTCTTGAAACAGCAGTTGCAAATTTTACATTGATTTATGTCTGTTGTTATTCAAAAATAAAGCAGTCTTAATCTTTAACTTATCTTTCATACATGGCCACCATACTAGTCTTTTACAGTTCTCATGATCTTTCCTCAGAAAAAGGTTAGAGACTCCTATCAAATAGTATTATTTTTAGGCTCTATGAGTCGTTATAAAGAAAATGGACCAAGTAGGCTAACTTTTAGGAGCCTAGTACAAATGCAACTCTGCATTTTTAATTTTATGTAATTGTTGTCTTTGTTTTTATATATATTTGTTAATTTTGGGGAAAGATATTGACAGTTATTCAGACTTTTGTACTTGTAAAATTAAATAAAATAAATAAATTAGGGTAGGGCTCCTATTGATGACTACTTCCAGTAGTCAACCACATAAGGTGAAATCCATGCATAATTAGTCCATCTTCACAGGTTTAGGCAAGCCATCTTCACAGGAAGTATCAAAAGATGATACAATTCTCAATGGTATGTAAGAATAACAGACTGCCTCACCACAGGAATGGGAAAAATTATTTGCAATACCTCTTCTGGTACTTGACCATGTAAAGTACCAGGTCTTTGTCAGGTTTTTAAGAGATAAAGATTCTATATTTCAGATGTGTATTTTCTACAAAATGTCTATTATTGAGCTCTCTTAATTGTTTCTCTGGGTGGTAAACTGTCAAAGTACCTGCAATAGCTAACAATTTTAGTCAATTCTGATCTAATATGTAAATAATGAGGTTGTCAATTACTGGGTATACTGACTCCATAAATTTGCATGTTTGACTGGATGATCATGTACTGGCGTTCATGACTTTTTTCATGACATGTCAGATATCCCTTTCACAGTTGCCAAATTTGTAAGACACTAGATGAAGGAAAAACCCAATTGTCAACCACCATAAATGACTGTGCAACTGTGCTGACTGCTGAATTTTTCTAAGTTGGTAATAGACTATTACATAACTCCACTAACTTATGGATACAAATTCACTGAGTTCAGCGTTAATAAAGTTCCTTTAGTATTAACACAAGCACTTTCGACGAGTGTATAATCGTCGTCTTCAGGTGAAAAGAACAAATTTTAACAAGACAATGTGCAGGATCCAAAATCCTTCTTAGCTAAGTTAATCAGGAATAAATGCAAGTGCTTCGCGGAAGCAGAACTACAAACGTATCAGACGCATCTGCAATTCTGTAAAGCGTGTGACCCTGCTACGCTATATATCGAATTAGGAAAAATACAGAGCATAGCATCTAATTCTACGCAGGAGATAAGAAAGAAATTAAGTACAAAACTTCAATGGTTAATGAGCTCATCACGAATACAAAGAAGGTTAGTAATAACCACTCCGTATTATAATTATACGGAAGAGGACGTGCCCGTCGAAGTGCACGGCATACTACACAGGGGACCCAAATATATCTCTCCTCCTAATAATACTGACCTCAACCAGTTAGTCCCAGTGGCGTTGGCAGCATTGAAATCCTGCCAGGTAGCAGCCATGTACCCACAAATGGAGTTAGAAATCGTCACGAAGCTTGCGGTGATGAAGCAAGTGTCCAGCGCGCCTAAGCACCACGTAAACCACCAAGCAGTAAAGCAATTCCTAGCTACGAATAACTTGAGGCTTCTTGTCTCTGATAAGGACAAACAATTCGTTCTGTGCAAGGAGGACGATTTCATCTGTAGATCCAATGAGTTCCTATCGCAATCACAATCACAGATAATAAATGATGATCCAACACCAACAGTACTGCAAAGGACAAAGAAAATAATAGCTTTACCAGGAGTAGCTTCGACTCTAACTGGGTGCCTTGATCCTCCCATTAATGTAGCATGCCCTAGGCTATTCTTTCAGCTGAAAACACACAAAGCAAACTGGCTGTTACGCCCACTGGTAAACAAGAGATCGCATCCTACATATTTCCTTGAAAAGGCGATCGCAAAGTTTTTGTGTGAACTTATTCTGGAATCACCATATGTTACCCCGTCGTCTACAGCTGCCAAGTCCACCATTGCTTCCAGTATGAGGGTTACACATGTAGATTCCCATACTTTCTACAAATTGGATGTGGTGTCCTTATATCCATTGGTGCCTGTTTTTGAAGCTGTAATGCTTGCTAACTCCTTGATCATCAAAAAGGGATTCAACATACAACAAGTGCTAGACATAAGTGATGCGCTGACATTCATCACTGAGCACAATTATTTCCTTTTCAACAAGAGCATCTACTTGCAGAAACGAGGAGTTCCTATGGGCTCCCCGCTATCTCCAGTCTTGGCCGAGCTCATTATGAGAGAAGTCGAGCGTAGAATTTTCAACTCACCTCTTACCATCAGTTATCCGTCGCTATACTTACGTTATGTCGACGATATCCTAATAATGTGGGAGAATACAGAGGAGGAGTTTATCAAATTTGTGCAGCAACTTTCAAGCATATACCCTACTATCGGTTTCACTTGGGAGAGGGAGCATGAGGACTCAATAGCGTTTCTGGATCTGTGTATACAAAAGTCGGTTGAGGGGCCGCAATTTGCTGTTTACCACAAATCTGACCTGTTACCGTATATTATCCCGGCAGATGCTTTCCAACCATCATGGTACGTCAATGCCGCCATTGCTGCACTTGTTAGAAGAGCATTACTGTTTCCGCCAACACAGCTAGCAACAAAAATCGAATTAGACATCATTAGAGTAGCAGTATCTCTTGCAGGATTTACATATGCCAAATATAAACATGTGTAAAGTAAAAGAGGCCCTATACCCATGTACCACGCTGTACAGAAAGAAAAAAGCATCCGTGATCCAGTCATCGTTGCCGTATCTTGAACCAACCTCTATATGTATCAGCTGCATATTTTGGCGATATAATTTCATACTACCCATAACCCCCTACCAAACCTATGCAGATGTATCTGCAATGATCGGAACAGGCTAACTACTTTAGAAAAGTCAGGGGTTTACATGATACAACTGGAAAATCCAGTAACGGGAAATATTACAAGATACATAGGAGCAAAAACAAGAATGCTCACCTCCTGCCTTGCTGAGCATCAGGATGACGTAGCCAAAGGAAGATTTCTACAGAGCTCGCTAAAAAAGTTCTCGAGCAAGGCTACAACCCGTTATGGCCCAGAACGGAAATAATCAAATGCTGCAACAACCGAAGGCTTGTGTTTATCTGGGAAGTGCTTCGCTTCTCACGGCTACTTCAGAAGCATGCAATGTTCCCACCCTCAATCTAACCGGGGTGTGGATTGCCTTATATCGGCGCCTAAAAAACGAAACGCACCTAACATCATATCACCAACGCAGTAGCATTTCCACGCATGCACCGCTAGCATCATAAAATATAAAGTTTCGAACATATCAAAAATTAGTTGCACGTTCTTAACAGAATTTCCGGACGCCTGTTTGAATTTTAAATATTCTGTTCCTTTGGAACATCCTGCACATTGTCTTGTTAAAATTTGTTCTTTTCACCTGAAGACGACGATTATACACTCATCGAAAGTGCTTGTGTTAATATTAAAGGAACTTTATTAACGCTGAACTCAGTGAATTTGTATCCATAAGTTATACAAATATTGGCATGAGTTTTTAAATTTATTTTTACATAACTCCACTAAAATCTTTAAACTATACCAGCAAAAATAATTTAATTTAAATACGTTAGGACAAACGTTTTCGATCCCCCTTATAATCTATGTCAGGTCATTATAATTAGAATGCTAAACATTCCTTCAAATTTAAATATTTTCAAATTGTAGGAACCATAAACATTAGAACAAGTATACATTAAAATTCACTTCTAGGTGTTAATTAATGCTAAATTTAAAATAAAATTTAACAAATACATTTTTTAAATATAAATCTCAAGTAAATTAATTTCTTATTTTTTATAAACGTTGTCTGGATCATCGAAAAAGGACTGCTATGCACTAATTATAACAACCTGATGCAGATCCCAAGGGGATCAAAAACATTTGTCATAAAATATTTAAATTAAATTATTTATGCTGATTGATTACTGGTGCAGAATAATCAGGGATCAACCACTGATGTACGCTGGGTTTCAAATGCCTGTTATTCTGGGTTATTTCCGAGTCTAAAAACACAAAATACATCAGTATACAAAGAAAGCACTCTCTGCTATTCTTTCTGCTATTAGAGGCCAAAAAATGTCTATCAGAGCTGCATCAAGTTCTGAAAAAAACCAGTCCTATTCAAATCTATCTCCAGCAATTCCATATATATCATCACACGAAAACATATTTCCTGACTTTCTTTATTATTTGTAGGGCCACAACCAATCACTACAAAAAAGAAATGTGATTGAAAAGAACATACACCAAACTATTGCTTCCAAGTCATGGAGAAAGTTCATATTATGAAAGGAGAGAGCAAAAGCAAGCAACACAGAAGAAAAAGAATTGAGAAAAATGAAAATACTGAAGAAAAAAGCTGAAAGATCTTCCAGGAAATATAGAGGCAGTGGAGGTAAACACAGGAAAGTTCTTTCATCCCTGAATAGAAATGAAGTTGGGATCACTGAGAAGCAAAAGTGTGCCAAGTTGTGATGATGATTTAGATAGTGACACAGAAATGGACAAACTAAAAATTGTTGGCTCTGATTTTTGCAGCAAGTGGTACCATTTGAAATTTTTTCCAATAGCAGGAACCCATTATGATGTTGCTACAACAATGCAGCTCATATGTGATGTTTGTGTAGTAAATGAACCATAATTCAAGTAAGTGTTTATGTATGTTTTCCCACTTAGCAAATTGAATTTATATAAATAAACACTGCAGTTAACTTGTGGTCGACAACTGAATCACCAGTGGTTAGACTTGAAAATTTCTGGTCAATTATTGGGCGAACAGCTCCTGTGATTAATTCATTAATTTCATAATGTAAACAAATGTCAAATATAAAATGTTTTTTCTTAGCATAATGTTGCTGTTGAGAACAAATCATACAGGAACACTTTCAGTGGAAAAAGATTGATTTATTGGTAGGAACAGATATGCATTTCGGAATATTCCTCTTCAGTCCTATTATAACAGATTTATCAGTAATAAATCTGTAATCAGATAAATCAGTAATAATAAATCAGATAAATCTGTAATAAATTAGTAATCAGTAATCAACTTACTGATACAGCTATTATAATAGGACTGAAGAGGGGCGTTAAGCCCGAAATGCATATCTGTTCCTACCAATAAACCAACCTTTTTCCACTGAAAGTGTTCCTGTGTGATTTGTTTGCAACAGTAATGAGTAACATAATGTTACTCATTATGCTAAGAAAAAACATGTAGTAAAGAGAACAGCAAGCAACCAAGATTTAAGGAAATGTTTTCTTTTTGACGACAAGCATAGAACACACTTTATTTTCATATACGAATTTTTCTTTTCACGTTACTACACATTGTGATAAAAAATATCAAAGTCCAAAACAGCTCTAAATGGTCGACTACTGGTGCCATTACTCTATGTAACATGTATAAATATGTTTGTCGGTTACAAAATTGTTCTTTTAACTCGTTTCTTCAAAACCATTATATAAATTTACTGGAATCAATAGAAAAGAATGTTGATTTTAATAAAGAAAACAATAAAAATTTTGTATTTTGTCCATTATTAATCTCTTATTGTGCTGCCCGGTTGGCAGTAGCATAATCGAACCATCGCTCATTTCCACTGACCAGTCAACGGTTCTATCAGTCCCATCTAGAATTTCTTAAAGCCAGGCAGTGGGTTTTGGGTACAAGAGCCTACACAGAAGTCTAAAATTTGGAGTCCAAATCCCACGTTCAGAACTGCAATTTCACTTAGCCTATTTAGTCCTTCTACTTCGCAACAGCTTGTGAACTATTTGACAAGTTCAGAATATAGATATTGTTAAGCTAGGAAGAAAAGAGAGAAATTAATCTAAATTAAAAAGATATCAATGTATTTAAATTTCTCAATTCAGTAAATTATGTTACTGTCAGATATACGAACGTGGATAGAGATTACTTTTAGGTGGTTCGGGTAGAACAGGCCCAGCCAACCCAAATTGTTTCGCAAGCCACTTTGAACACACATAACATTATGGTGGGTCACAATTTAGGCAAACATGCTTTTAAAAAAGTAAAACAAATACAAAATGAATAAAATTTTATTGTTATACCAAGAGTTCGTACTCACACTTGTGCATTATAACAATGACACATGGAAAATTTCATTTATTTAATTGTTTTGGTATACACATAACGGGAAACAAAAGTTTTAATAGATATATAATATCGCTTAGCGGACCACACAATTTAATATGACGGACCGCGGGTTGGCCAGGCCTGGTGTATACAAATACATACAAACAAATTACCTGGAAGTAATTTCTACCACGAACTTACTTTATCATTTCTTGAATTACAGTTTGTAAACATTCAGGTTGACGTCCTTTTCTTTCGAATGCTGCACAAGCTTCTGCGTGAGTAAACATTACTTTTTTACAATGCTTGCACCATTTTATAAGGCTTTCTTCCCAGAACATCATTTTTTCTTGATATCCGAATGGATTAATATGTTTGGGGCGGAATTCTGCCATCAGCGAATTCATTCTAACGTCGTTCCCCCACCATTCTGATAAATAAGTGCGTTTATCCGTCGAAAACATTGTATTGCTGTCTTGTTTTCAATTAAAATTCGTATTAAATCACATTCTCCAACACGTTGATGCCCTTCGTTTCGATTTCATGTGCGCAATGGTAACAAATTACCATGTGACTGTGATAAGTATATAATTTCGTCGCCAAAAAGTAGCCAAATTTTTTAATGAAATTCTAATATTAAAATTTAAAATTTATTTAGATATTTTTTATTTCTTATAATCAAAAGTGAAAAAATATAATAATATTATAATAATTCACGTTTAAATACCGTAAACTTTTTTCTTTTTTTAACTCTTTCTGTCCTGTGGGCACTGATGGCCTCTTTTAGCCAGCCTATTATGAGTTCGGCCAGGCCCACAATGGGGCTGCCGGGTGGTGAGAAAACGGGGTCCAATAATCCGAACGGACTACTAAATGAAAAATTCCTGGGTTTTTTACCCGTTCGGATTTGATCCCGGGTTCCCCAGAGCGATAGACTGCTACTGTACACTGTTATTTATTTATTTTGACTCATTCCAAAAGGATCTCTTACAATCATATCTTGGGTTTGGCCACGGTATGTAGGTAAGCCAGACACAATACATGAGGGAAGGGTCTGACAAGTCGATCCTGAATTCCTAAGATTTTCGATCCGGACTCGAACTCGGGTCCACCAGAATGGTTAACTGACCCGTTTACCGTTTGCGAATAGTAATTGGAATCATACACGACAAAGACACACTGAACGCATAATTTCCGAAATAAGAACTGAGACAGATAAGAGAATGATGGAGATAGACAGTAGATTTATTTAGGTCTACAATAATATGAAGAGTTTAAATATAGAAACAGATAGTAAAACACGACAGGGTCATAAAATGACGTACCGGTACAATAGTTTTACAATGAAATAGAAAATTCAACAGGTATACAAAAATTCACTTACATAACTGCTCATCTGCTTCTAGAAGCGTTGAATTAATCAATTACGGAAAATAAGTCTAGTTCTGCAGCAATATCTCTTTCAGTATACAAGATCGAAAGTGAAGAAAGTCTTTCTTGACATCTTGTTATTTGGAAATAGCTTTTGATCAATTTTAACTACCAAAAATTGATGTACCGGATGGCCGAGCGGATCGCTTCTCGGTATTTTGGCTAAGATCAGATTATTATTTCGAGCCATAAGGTTGAGAGGGGCGAAGTTGTTCCGTTGGTCCAATTTTTCCTAAACATGTCATGAATGTCTTGCTATCATGGTTTCTGTCTTGTAAAGTGTCTGTCAATATTGTAGTGAAATGTAGATACGTTTTGAATTTTGGATTAACACTAGCCTTCCTGAAAGAAGAGAAAATTTTCGACTGGTGTTTGTGGATCGGCGGTTCGGCTCAAAGCGTCTGACTGGTTCTTGTGTTCCTAGTCTTCTTGGTGGTCTTTTTGGCGGTCTTCTGATCCTCCTGCCTTCTCGGAGCTTCGACTTCAGTGATGATGGCTGCCTTCCATCATTTGGTGATATTTAGTCTACTGTTTTGGAGTTAGGGTCTTTGGTTGTAGTTGTGGTTTGTTGATATAAGTAACGTGGGCCATCTGCCCACCTGTCACGTCACTATAAAAAATGCTATTTTGTTCTTACAAACGTAAAGAAAACTTAGAAAACTTAATGTGGCCAGCCCGTTGGTAAGGCACGAACCCACGACCAACTATTAATGTTCAGTGGTTTTGCCCTCGGCCACTGGTGGATTTAGAAAATTGTGATGGTAAAGATAAATGAGTGATATTGAATAGGATGTCCGGCGAAATGGAGGAAGAAGAAGTATGTAGACAAATTAAGATATATACAGCTGAAACTTCTGTGGAATTTCTCACAATTTTTACGGAAAGAATTATGATGGTAGATATGTAAAAATCATTCCCGAATTTACTAAAAGCAGAGGATGAATTAATTCAAGTTACATAACTGAGTGTTAACATATTAATAATAGGTATCCGAAGATTAGGTGTCTACAACCTAAGGAAATAGATCATGGAAAGAAAAATTTTGTGAAGGTAAAGGAGGGAAAAAAGAGAAAGAAGGCAAAGTGAAATTAGAGAAGGAAAATGGAAATGAAAAAGAAAACGGAGGAGAAAAAGAAATGTCTGAAGAGGAGGCAGAGACAATTGTATGATAGATAATACAGTATAATATACAGTATAATATAATATAATAAGAGAAAAGAAGACGAAAAAATGTAGACTAAAGTGAATAAACGGGAAAGGGAAAAAGGAGACAAGAGAAGAAAGAGGAGCTTCTCAGAAGGTGAAGAGGAAGGGGTGAGAGAAATGATAAAAACAGAGGAGAAGAATCAGAGGATGGCAAGAATTAAACTGTAGTCTAATAATTGTAAATGAGATCTTGAAAAAAAGAAGAGATAAAATCACAGGATAAGGAAGTGATGGAAAGAGTGAAGAAGAAACATCATTTAGAACAATTTATAGATACGTAATATGCATGGAAGAAGAAAGATATATGGACATTTATGGAGCAGCAACAGTTGTACAGAGAGGAAGAGAATTTTAATGGAAACTTTGGAAAAAGTACAAGACAGAAAAGGAAAGAGATGTGCAAGAATCAACGTACTGAACAACAATTCATCAACAACATCAATCTAACATCAACCACAACAATCTAAAAAGCCTGTTAAGTGTGGTAACATTGATATGTTTCGGATTTTAAGATCTGTTTTTTGTACTTTATGTATGTAGTTTNAATAAACGGGAAAGGGAAAAAGGAGACAAGAGAAGAAAGAGGAGCTTCTCAGAAGGTGAAGAGGAAGGGGTGAGAGAAATGATAAAAACAGAGGAGAAGAATCAGAGGATGGCAAGAATTAAACTGTAGTCTAATAATTGTAAATGAGATCTTGAAAAAAGAAGAGATAAAATAACAGGATAAGAAAGTGATGGAAAGAGCGAAAAAGGAACATCATTTAGAACAATTTATAGATACGGAATAAGCATGGAAGAAGAAAGATATATGGACATTTATGGAGCAGCAACAGTTGTACAGAGAGGAAGAGAATTTTAATGGAAATTTTGGAAAAGGTACAAGACAGAAAAGGAAAGGGATGTGCAAGAATCAATTTACTGAACAACAATTCAACAACAACGTATTGAATATAAAAAGCGTGTTATGTGTGGTAACATTGATATGTTTGGGATTTTAATATTTGTTTTTTGTACTTTATGTATGTAGTTTTTACTTTTCCCGTTGTTATAACAGGGAAAAGTATTGTAATCGTAATTGTCCCAAATTTTTACTTTATTGTCACATTCCTGGCTGTTTTAATGTAACATGGGTTACATTAAAGGTTATTGTAATATATCAGACTTAAATTAATGAAGATTAAGCATTCATTTACAATTTTTTTTTAAATGAAACTCTTCTCTACCCTGAAAATTAATCTTTTTGCCATNAACAATTCAACAACAACGTATTGAATATAAAAAGCGTGTTATGTGTGGTAACATTGATATGTTTGGGATTTTAAGATCTGTTTTTTGTACTTTATGTATGTAGTTTCTACTTTCTCCACTGTTATAATAGCAGAAAGTATTGTAATCGTAATTGTCCCAAATTTTTACTTTATTGTCACATTCCTGGCTGTTTTAATGTAACATAGGCTACATTAAAGGTTATTGTAATATACTATTGTAATCGTGTCACATTTGGCCTTCCAGGTTTTTGGAATCATGATGTTTTGACACCTCTGAACCTAAAAAGTAAAAAAAAAACTGATACCTGGAATATGTATTTGTGTATGTGTGTTGGCATCTATTTCGTTTAATATCTCAGGATGGGGTAAAGATTAAGAAACGAAATTTGGAATATTAACTTTTATATAAAGGGCATCGAATCTGTTAAATTTTAGTGATTAAAGGTCGAGGGGGAGGAGAGAGAGAGACCAGTCAAGTATGATACTTTGTATTATATCTCGAGAGGAGTCAGACTTAATGAAGATTTAGCATTCATTATTAGCATTTACAATTTTTTTTAAATGAAACTCTTCTCTACCGTCAAAATTAATCTTTTTGCCATATTTTAATAATTAATAATATAAAAAGTTTTTAATAACAAAATTTCATAACAGATGGCGCCATATACAATTTTATTTATTAATATTATTTTTAAAATAAAATTCCACAGTAGCCAGAAAAGTTATGCAACTTGTTACTGGATTTTTTGGAATTGTATGATTTCTAGGATAAAGAAGATATTTTACGAAACTGTTTTAAGTTCCTGTAATTATTTCGTTTATGTTGTGGTTATTGTTGCTACCACACCAGTAATTGTCATCTTTATTAAAGTTTTTATTGTTGGATATTGTTGTATGTAAAATTAAAATTGACTTTGCTTAATGTATGATAATGTACACTTTATTGGGAATTAATAGTGTTTTCACATACTTGTGTATCTGTTCTTATCAGCTTAATATCTGATACGTTTCCATTGGAAACCTATGATATTAACCTAATTTTTGGAACAGGGTGGGGAAAGGGAGCTTGCTCTCTCCCACCATGGGTTGCTCAGGTATGGCACTTATCTCCTGAGATAACCTACCCCTTTGGGGGAAATTAATAATAAAAGTCAGAAAAATTAATTAATAAAGAAAAAAATTTTTTGTCTACAGATTGATGTTCTGCAGGGCAAATGGCACAGGAACCATCACATGTGTAGCAAGACCTTCCCCAAGCATGCTACTGGAGAGAAAATATAGGCGCTACTGCAAGGAGGAAAGGTAAGATAAAATCTACAAGGCGAAAAAACGTCATTGCTGCATATTTCTACCACGCTCAGAGGAAGAGGAGCGAAGGAACTAACACGTTCACGTGCATTTAGTGGAAAGCGTTAATCAGCGATTCGAATTTTCAGCAGAAAAGCGAAATGTGCCATGTTGTCAGTTGAAATGTTATTTGGCAGAGGGGAAGTCCATGCAAAACATGCATCACATGCACGTGCAACCCCACGCACCACAGGAAGGATAAGCCTCACTCAATAACAGAACTTTGGAAGCAGAAACGATTTCACTTCCTCTTAAACCGCTACTTGCACTTGGATGCTAACAGCAGG